ATCTGTGCAAATAGTTCGAGGGAATCTGTGATTGAAAATTAAGATCCCAAGATATAAAAGAACTATATAACTTCATGATTGCAAAAAAAGCAGTTCAACTCTTGTTAGACAGAGAGAAACATAGAATTATGGAAGATTGTCATCTTTACGTACATCAAAAATATTTAAAAGCATCGATAGAGATGGAAAATCACTTGGTACTCCATACTAGTTAAAAAAAGCTTATTGAACTAGTATCCAGCCAAAACGCAAATTTGAACTTAGCTCATTGTTCAAACTCACTACACATTTTATAAGAATAAATATGTAATTGTGTACATAAATGACATTTACGCAATGAAATTGTATGGTAATATTAACTTATAAGATTGCACTATTGCAGATTCATTTAAATACTAAAAAACCATAACAGTTCAAAATACAAAGATAATTTCCGGAAAAATGCCAAAACCTTTGATTTTTGTTTGGTCAAACTGAAAAGTATGACTTTGCCAATTGAAGAAAGCAAATATTAAACCAGCATGCATGATTAATGATTAATGATATGGATTAAGTCCTAAACTGATATTACACTTTTAAGGACAGAAATAACGATTTTGGCTTCACCTGATTTTGTGTAGATTGATTAATGATATGGATTAAGTCCTAATTCCGTGTTCAAGAGCATTAACAATAAAAACATTAATCTGAGATTCAGAAATGAGCAAAGCACTCACAGATTTGTGCTGATTCACCCTCAATGAGTGAATTGTCTTCTCTACAGGTTCGGCCTAATGGAGAAGAAGATATCAATGTCACCGGCCAGCAAGCCCTTTTCCAGTTTTCCTTCACAAAACCTACTGGTATGAAGAATAGAAGATTTAGGGTTGCCTCAGTTGCGGGCGGGTTGTCTCGTGTAATTGTGGTGTTGTAATTTAATTTTTTTTTTTTTATATTTCTTCACGGGTCGGGTGCGGTGCGGGGCGGCAATACTCGCCCCACCCCGCCTCGCCCCGCCAACCCGTCGGGGCGGGTTTTTTTCACCCCATTCGGGGCGGGGCGGGGCGAATTTTTTTGCCATCACTAGAACATACATTTTATGTTAAAACTGGCGATCAAGGAAATATGCTTATTGTGTGTTTATACGTGGATGATCTTAAATTTACTGGAAATGATAGTGTCATGTTTGATGATTTCAAGAAATCTATGATAGTAGAGTTTGATATGTCTCATCTTGGAAACATGCATTATTTTCTTGGTATTGAAGTGGAACAATCTACTGGCATCTTTATCCCTCAAAAGAAGTATGTGAAAGAAATTCTAAACAGGTTTGGATTGAATAATTGTAAACTCGTGAATACACCGATAGAGCGTGGATTAAAGCTAACCAAGGATAATGAAGGAAAGAAAGTTGACAGTACTCTTTACAAGCAAATTGTAGGGAATTTGATGTATTTGACAGCAACAAGGCTAGACATAATGTACTCTGTGAGTCTCATCAGTAGATACATAAAGAACCCAAATGAGATGCATTTTCTCCTTGCAAGGAGGATGTTTCGCTATGTGCATAGAATAATAGACTTTGATTTACTCTATAAGAAAGAGAAGTCAGTAGACATTGTAGGTTTCACTGACAGTGATTTTGCAGAGGATCAAGATGACAGAAGAAACACATCAAGATATGCCTTTATTCTGGGTTCAGTAGCTGTTTCGTCTAATGTCTTTGCTGAATTCTTACCTACTACATTTCATGTGAAGAATCTTCGTACGGGGGCAATTCTTTTGCGAAGGCAAACTAAAGATGGTGTATGCGAGTGGCCAACCTCTCCAGTCAAAGCTAGTGGTATCATCGTTTAGGACATCCTGCATTTCCAATTTTGTGTCATCTCGTATCCAACTTTAGTTTAAATTTATCAAGTCCCATGTCTCAAAGTTTACTTTTCATCTATTAGTTGCACTCAACCACTTCAAATTATATTTTCTGATTTATAGACATCTCCAATCTTCACATATGATGATTTCAAATACAATGTTATTTTCGTTGATCATTACACCAAATATATTTGGTATTATCCTTTCCAACACAAATCCTATGTTTATGATATTTTTTTTAAGTTTAAAGTTCTAGTAGAAAAATTCGAAAATAATCTCATTATATCCTGATAATAGCAGAAAATATAAGACACTGTCTAATTGCCTTACCACCAATGGTATTTCCCATCTTACCACCACTCCTCACACTCCCGAACACAATGGGTACTCTAAACAGCTTCATCGCCACATACTTGAAACATGACTCTCCATTCTTTCTCACGCTTTTCTTTCGCTTACATTTTGGAATTGTACATTTACTTCTACGGTCTATTTCATAAATCATATGTCCACACCAACTTCAATCTACATTCTCCTTATGAAACACTTTTTGGTTCTCCACCTAATTACACCAAAATTCGTGTATTTGGGCGTCTCTGGTATTCAAGACCTCGGCTACTCCCTTAAGCAAAGCGTGTTTCTATGTCTTGATCCATCTACTTCTCGTATCTACATATCTCGCCATGTGAAATTTGTTGAGGCGATGTTTTCTTACAAAGCTCACCACAATCACCTTCATCGTAATGAATCTACCATCGTTTCGGATTGGATTCTCCCAATATTTATTATTCCTTCCAACTTAATTATGCCACCACGCTTCTTCCGCTGCTCCTTCAACAATTTCTCCTCCGTTCAACGGCTAGTCACCACCTGCTACTAGTCTACATTCACCTACTATTCTACCATTGCCGCCACCTTTGCCTGAGTTACCATCCACATCACTTGAGCTAGTTCCTACCTCAACCAATATACATTCTATGGTTACCAGCTCTAAGTACAACATCCATAAGCCCACACAAAAACTTAACTTTCATGCTCACGTTAACCCTCTAGTAACTCGGAACTAACTACAGCTACACAAGCCCTTAAAGACCCTAAGTAGCTCCAGGCTATGTCCGAAGAATATGATACGCTGGTTCGTAATGGCACTTGGGAACTTGTCCTTTCGGCCACCTCTCACAATCTTGTGGGTTGTAAATGGATCTTTCGTACTAAATGATTATCTCATGGTTCTATTGACAAGTATAAAGCTCAGCTAGTTGCTGAAGGTTTTATCAACGTCTTGGTATTAATTAGCCCAGTTTGTCAAACTCATCACTGTCCGGATCATTCTCAGTTTGACTGTGAGACGTGGCTGGTTTCTTCGACAACTTGATGTTAACAATGCCTTTCTTCAAGATCATTTATCTGAAGATGTTTACATGGCCCAACCAACTGGTTTTGTACACCTTGACAAACCCAATCATGTCTGCAAACTTCGCAAGGCTATCTATGGTCTCAAACAGGCACCTCATGCCTAGTATCATGAGTTAGAACAATTCTTGATTCAATCCGGCTTTCACAATTCGCATGCTAACACTTCCCTGTTTATTCTCATATATGGTAGTATCACTCTATACTTACTTGTCTAAATAGATAGATGACATAATTATTACATGTAATGATGACTGTGCAACTCAAACTTTTATTCAAGTCCTTGCCAATCGATTCACTTTAAAGTATCTAGGTCAACTTTCCTTTTTTTGGGTGTTGAGGTTGTCTCACTTCCACATGTTCTACTTCTTTCTCAACAATGTTATATTCTTGATTTACTTGCTTGCACTAAGATGACTAATGCCAAACCAGTTGTCACTCATCTTGCCACTACTCCGACACTAACACTTCATGTTGGCACGATACTTTTCGATCCTACAGAATATCAAGCTATTGTTGGCTGTCTACAATACTTCTCTCTTACTCGGTCGGATATTACTTATACGTGGAAAATTATCTCAGTTCATGCACCGTCCACAAGTGATCATTGGACAAAAGTGAAATTCTTCTGCGATATTTATGTGGTACAGTGTACAATTACTCGCTCATCGACAGAAGCTGAGTATCGCTCTGTTGCAACTGCTGCTGAAGTTTGCTGGGTATGCTTCCTTCTTATAGAACTTGGGATCACCATTCCAACTTTGCCTGTCATCTACTATGATAATGTTGGTGCAACACACTTATGTTCCAATTTCATTCTCGAATGAAACAATAAACATGTTGCCCCTGATTATTGCTACATTCGTGATCAAGTCCAAAATGGTATACTACGAGTTACTCATGTCTCCTTTATTGATCAGCTAGTGGATGCCCTCACAAAGCCTCTTCCACGTGCACGTCATCTTTTTCTTTGTGACAAGACTCTCACTCGGCACTCCATCTTGCGGTGGCATATAGAAGAAAATACTTGATTACAACCTAATTATAGCATAATAGATTCTTGTAGCTTAACTGATTCCCGTAATCATGTACTTTACTTTCCCAATCTTGACTTACTGTAATACGTATTGCAAATTCCTTAGTTTAGACAATTTCCTAATATTGTATCGTTCTTGTAATCTGTGGATGTATGTATATACACACGATTTAATCCATGAAAGATAGCAAAAGCCTTTATTCCTTTAATTGTTTACTCAACCTACATTCTACACCTAAGATATAATCCAATTTCTTGGTGCTCTCGAAAGCAGAAATATGTAGATTGATCCTTCATTGAGGCTGGGTATAGGTCCCTATCATTTGTTTGACAGCTTAAACTAGGCTCCCCTTTAGATAGGCTTTTGGTTTTAATCAAGATAGGTCAAGGGCGCGTCGGAACGGTCGGTCGCTGCTTAGTCTCAATACATTCTACACCTAAGATATAATCCAATTTCTTGGTGCTCTCGAAAGCAGAAATATGTAGATTGATCCTTCATTGAGGCTGGGTATAGGTCCCTATCATTTGTTTGACAGCTTAAACTAGGCTCCAATTTAGGTAGGTTTAGCTACTTGACTTCACATTGTTTCATCAAATGAGTGAAATGAAGAGAATGATGAAATCCGATGCATTACTAAACAATTGTCTTTCGCACAATGACTATCTTGCATGGACGTGTTAAGGATAATGCACAAGAATCCAAATGAGCTGAAAATTCCAAACTACATGATCAACATCCAAGTCCTAGTCCTTTAAATAGTAGTAGCCAAATCTCATATCAAGAAACAATTGAATCCTATCATCAGGGGCGGACGTAAACTTCTTAAACAAGGGGGCACAATCAAAATTTCAGATTATAATTTTGGATAAGGAGGGGGGGTGAAACTCAATTCCTTCCACAGTCATTCCTTTCATAAGAAACTATGGACTGCAAACAATTTAAGCAATATAATTCCAGATTATCCTTCAGTTATTCTAAGTTTAATGTGCAGAAAAATACAGTCAGATAATTCTACTAATTTTACTTGTAATCAGTATGTTCTTTGCCAAAAATTTGATGAACTAGTTAAACTACAATGACTTGTCTTTCTTTTTTCAACTTTCAGGATTTATTATTCCCGAAGGATGGAGGATATACGTTTACACGAGAGAGATTAACTATAATCCACACCTTTATCCTGATCCATTAACCTTCAATCCATGGAGATGGCTGGTTCGTAATCCTAAATCCTAAAACTGAAATTTTTTCAGTCCACTACTGCTTACAAACATGGAATGGAAGTCTTTTAACTTTTTCCCAAAGTGATTAATGTTCTAAATCAACGAATGCAGGACAAAAGGCCAGAGTACCAAAACTATTTCTTTATATTTGGAGGAGGGACTAGGCAGTGTCCTGGAAAGGAGCTTGGATTGGCAGAAATTTCTACATTCCTTCATTACTTTGTGACAAGATACAATTGGGAAATCAAATCTCATCAAAAATCCCTAAATCCCTAAAAACCCTAATTATCAATCCCTAACTATCAATCCCTAAATTCAGTTCAAAACATTAGATTAACACTTAACAATCAATATTATAACCCCCATTAATTTCATTTTCAGAGGAAAAACTGCAAAACATTGGAAAACTGAAAAACTTCATTTACAAAATTAACAGTCAATACAATAACTCAATAAGTTACTTCGGTCCTCTGAGCTTCGAAGTTATACTTGGAATCGGAGACTAGAGTTGGGCTGCTTGCTTGGGCAGAGGAAGGGCGAATGCAGAGTTAGAGAGGAAGGGCAGAGCTTCAAAGTCGAAACTGTGTGTGAGGTGTTGTGGTCGATTCTGCTGCCGGGAGAGAGACGGGGAGACGGGTGATAGACTGGATAGTGGAGATGGGAGATTGGAGTGGACTCAGACTCGGGGGAGGGGGAGGGGGAGGGGGAGAAATTAGGGATTTGAGGTATGGATACAATTTTTTTTCATTTATATATATAAAAAAAAAATCTTCAAAATTAGGGGGGCACTTGCCCACCCAGCCACCCCCAGGTCCGCCCCTGCCTATCATCATGTAATATAGATTGTTCACTTAGATAATTCTTATATTGTAAAATCAAATTGCAGAAGTCTAGTTTGAATAAATTGTTTCATTGTATGAACATACATGAACTACATGAATGAAAGTGGGTGAAATTATTTCTCTCCATATCTTGGGTTTTTCTACACTATCTTTATTCCTTATATGGATTAAAATATTTAGTATTTATATGATAATTTTAAAAAGTCAGTGTTTAAAAAAAATTACAGTGCACTAATGTGAGAAGAAGGGAAAAAATAAAGTAAAACCATTGACATCTTCAATTATTAGTTTATACCATTTATATACCTAAAAATATTGCCTTTTCTATCCGTATTGGCTTCATATTTTTTAATAAATAAAAGTAGAATTATGTAACACGTAATGCATGTTGACAATACTATTAAAGTAATTATTATCGTGGGGTTGAAGTGCAAATCAACAAGTTTTTTCTGTTTTTTTTTTTTTTAATTATAAACATTTTACTTTTCTCCACCAATCCGGGTATGACTCATAACCGTATCGATTTTTAATTGAAGAACAATAAAATTGTCGGTGGGAAGGAATAAAATGAAAGTCAATCGATGCATCTCAATATATTTAACTGTTGGCATAATTTATGTATAAATTAAGTACATTTTTTTAATAAGTAAATGATTGACCAAGATTTGAACTTTTTTTATATATATTTAATACTGTTCAATTCCGTGTAATATATCATACAATCGAAACATATGCATTGTGCTTAGAGGAATTTTTTTTTAAATATTTTATATATATTATTTATGTATACACACAAACCTTTATATGGTTTTCTTTATTTATTCTTAATTGATATATGGGCAAATGTAAGATTTAAGAATATTAATTTTAAATGGAATTGAAGGATTTCAAAGCACCACGCGTAATAACTTCAACCTGTCAATATAGACTTTAGAATAATGTTATTCATTTTCACTGGGGTTGAGCCCCCAATCTATATAGCAATTACTTGGCATTGTATGATATACTCAATTGAATGAGACATGTGAATTTAATGTCATGTAATTGACACATAAAGTGAGGCTCAATCCCGGTGAGAATTAATAGCATTACTCTAGACTTTAATAATAACATTGAATTCTATGACAATATTATCCTTGTATTGCTCTCCCACAAGATAGATCAAAAAGTAAAAGCAGCTCTATGTTACCCCAGCAAACTACTGTCCCAAAAAAAAAGTCTCATACTTTTATCCTTTCGATTCAATAAAAATGAAATAGAAGAACTCATATTTCAAATGAACAAATTCAAACTCGAAAATTATCTTTCTGATTCTCGAAGAATGAGGGGCAAAAGGATTGATCGAGAAAGATCTCTTGTTGTTTGTAAAGGTAAAAATAATAATTAAATCAATACTTTTTGCGTAGATATTTTAATTTTCTAAAATGACATAGTAAATTAACATGGTATTAAGATCGGACAAAACACTTTAATTCAAGTCTCACGACACCAATTTATAAAATTTGAATCTATTAATTGAATACATATTTTCATTCGAACAGATTAAACGTTAAAATTGATAATTAATATAATTTTATGTTTTTCTATTACTACTAGGTGCAAGCAACGTGCAATGAACGTTTGCCTAGTTTATATTTAATAGTTTTGTTTAAAAATTAATTTGTTATTAATAAATATGTAATTTTTTTGGTTAATTAAATAATTAATGATGTAATGTTTATGTAATTGATAAATAATTAGATGTGTGATTTTGATGTTGTGATGTAAGTTGGTGAGATCGAAGAAAATAAGCAAAAGTTGACAAATTTGGAGAAATGACTAAATTGTAAGGGATCCAAAGTTCGAGAACTAAAATGTAAATATTTAAAAGTTGTGCCGAACCTCACGATGAAGATTTGAGAGTACTCGGAGTCAATTGGATAAAGGAAGACGTCAATGGAATCAAATTTAGTCAAAAGATGATAACAAATCAATTTCTAACCGAAAGTTATGCTTCGATGTTTTAGTCTCATATTGAGACCTATTTTTGGCGTAGAAAGTGATCGAATTGGATAATGATGTCTGAATCAAAGTTGTAGCAAAAATGAATTAGCTTTCCAATGCATTTTGAATCGCCTCAATCGGATATCGGAATACAAAATTATGATAAAAATACTGAAAGAAGATGCAGCTGCCTGTTTAAAACAAGAAATTCCGTTACATAGTCCGTTAAAACAACAAATTCCGTTAGTTTTTCCGTTAAAAACAAGAAATTCTGTTACATAGCCACTTTTAATATATAGAAGAAATTATAAAACACTGAGAGAAGGTGCAGCTGCCTGTTTAAAACAAGAAATTCCGTTACATAGTCCGTTAAAACAACAAATTCCGTTAGTTTTTCCGTTAAAAACAAGAAATTCCGTTACATATCCACTTTTAATATATAGAAGATCATAGAATAAACTGTTCATTTTAGCGATTCAATTATAGAGCGATTTTTAATTAAAATATTATTAGTTTATATTATATAATTCACCAGTGGTCGTGAAATGCAAATTCGGCGTGGTAATATATAATTAGTTAAGTTCTTCTTGGACAGTAGTCATTCCAACAATGATTGACACAAATGATTGGATTTTGTCCAATTCGACGATCACATATTCTGTTCTTTGAAGATATTTCACAACTGACAACTCACAAGTATTTCATTTTTGGTTTTACTTATTTTATTCATTCCAACAATGATTGACGCAAATTACTTAAATTCACTTTTAAGTTATCACATAATTCTTAAAATTACTTTTTTATAATTAAAAACTTTTAGCGAGCAGGTCTAGAGAAATAACATTTAAATACAACCAAACATAGAGGGGTTATTTCCTCTTAACATATACAAGTCATTGGTCTAACTTTTACATTAATAACTAACTTGAGCATTGAATTGAACCACATCAACATCTCATTTCTTTTAGTTCCCATATGAAAGGGTCAATCTTAAGTGGAGCATGTTCCCCTTATAAACTCAAGATCGAACTCATGTATGCCCAATGTCGAATGAACGGCCGCATCATCATAGTCACAAATGATCATCACGGCACCCCTTAAAAATGATGACCTTTTTAATCTACCCATACTTTTTAATAATGTCAACATCATCTCCATCGCGCAAAGCCCTACTTTACCAAGAAGGGCTTCACCACTGTAAAAATTTACCAACAACATGAAATTTTCTTGCATCGCGATTAATTAAAAAGCACTCATTCGTTCTAATATTTAGCGCACATCCAGAAATTCATCTTGCGTATCTACATGGCAAAGTATAGGTTATATGACTCTGATAACACTTATTAAAGATTGAATTTCATCTCAAAAGGTTAACATCTAGGCAGAGTAATCTAATCCATTTATAAACCCAATGTTATCTCTATATCTAGCCAATGTTGAACTTTTATATAGTTGCACATTCTCGACACTTCTGAGTGCCAAGTTCCCTTAGAGTTATGCTACATGTACAAAATTGGGTTACAAAGTTGGCTAACAAAATAACATCTACACCAATCATTTTAAAAACAGATTTTTAAATCATTTAATCAACGGTCTGGATTTTGCCAACACACTTTGTAACTCAACTTTCGTAACTCAACTTTGTACAAATAGCTTTATTGTATTTATTATGACGCAGCACGAAACAAGGAATTCAAACGAAAACTTTAAGAATACAATTTTTGGAATCCACCAAATTTTGAGAAACAAACTCACAAAAACTTTATTAATGTAAGATGATTAAAAACAATGAGATAATATTTTATTTATAAGGATTTACATGAAAATCTAGTTTAATAAGAATAAAATTGAAAAAGAATTTGAAATAAACTAAATGGCAAAAATAGCGCTAAAACTTTAAAAAAAAAAATACGAACTCGGATGGCCGAAATCCATCGTATGTCGTGGCAAAGCGATGAGTTTTACTCATGTTGTCGTCCTCATTCCGGAATATATTATGGGCCCAAACAAGAATTCGAATGTTCTCTCTGCGCTATTATTTTTTTCCCATTTTGATTCAATTCTTCTTCCATCTATTCAACAATATGTTCTACATCATATTAACTCCTAACCGTGTAAAAAAAAATCTCAATGCTACTTGCATTTTCAAATTTCACTTAATTTCAAGTTATGCATAATTTTAGTCGTCTCATAGTGATAGATTATTGAAAAAGATCCTCTAAGAATGGAGTTCTTGATCTCAACTCTCCCCAAATATTCCTAGAAGGGGACACCTAACCTCAAATCCGCAGGTCAAACGGACATTGCAATATTAAAACCTTAGAAGGTACAGTTTTTTTTTTAATCAAAAAACATTTTCAACTAATCCCTCCTTTAAATTCCTGCATACAATACAAGGGTTTGCTATCCTCACAACAAGTTTGTATTCTCCATCCCTTTCCACTCCCTCTCTTGCGCGCGCGCACACACACATTATAAATTTATAACCCATCATATCATATATTGATTCGAAAAAAAATCTGTTTTGAGATTAATGGGGCATGATAAGGCATTCGATAATGGAAAGAAGAAGCAGAAAAGGGGATTATGGTCTCCAGATGAAGACCAGAGGCTTAGAAACTATATGCTCAAGCATGGTCATGGCTGCTGGAGCAATGTTTCCATCAATGCTGGTGAGTATATTAGAAATCGTAAATGAGCAAGTCATGAGTCCAAGTTTTACGCCATTTAATAAAGACGGATTTATTGAAGATAAAAATTCGTGAGTCGATATTCTTGTTCGATTAATTTAGAGAATCGACTCAATTTACTGTTTGATTCACTAATTCTAGGGTCGGCCAAGTGGTCGAGATATCAGTTCTGTTAACTATGGGTAAAGTAGTTGGCCAAGACCATTCCATGACATGAATTTTGAGAATGAACACATATGATTGAGTATGTTCATTGCTTTTATTAGTCATTGGTCCAATATAAACAAATCACTAATAATAAAATTAAAACAAAAAGGTCATAGCAAATAAAGTATGTACGTTGTATAAAGAATATTATTTTTTTCACGTTCTAGGAATAAATATTTTGGAACTGGTAGGATAACTTCTAGAAGTCAATGACTAAGAATTTTCTGTTAAAATACCTGCTCTGAGTAGACATTGATGACGACAATGTATATAGACTGGAGCTTATATCCGGTTAAATAACAAAATAAAAAGAATACTAACTTGTAGAATTTATAAATAATATTCACTTATCATTTATTTTTACCTACTTATAAACGACAATATCTATAAACACTTCCCAATCAAGCCCAAAAAATAAATAGTTATTTAAAATTTAAAAAAATAGTTTCAAAAATAATTTTTACTTTAATATAAATATTGTGAAACAATCAAAATATCTCTTGTTAGAAGAAATATTAATATGCTCGGATAGCTGTTAACAATGTTGAAAATACAAGAATTATGTATTGTTTAAATACCACTTGATGAAATCATCCACCGGAATAAATTGAAGTTATATGAAAAATAATGAAGTATTATATCAAACAAAAGAATAATAAAGACAAGAAATATAATAGATGAATTAAGGCCGTGTTTGATAGGCCGTGTTTTCCGGGGAAGTAGGAAAATATTTTCCACTTTCCACGGAAAATATTTTCCTACTTTTCCTCACACGTGTGCATTTTCCCGCCTTTTTGGTGGGAAAATATTTTTTCGGCTGGCTGGAATTTTTTTTTCCCTTTTTTTTTTTTTTACTTTTTGGCAATGAAAACAAATGTCATAACAAATGGTAAAAAAAATTCACTTTAATGGACAAATTTCATGTAAAATAAAGTCAAACGAACACTAAATTTTGATAAAAAATGATTTTTTAGGAAACAAATTTTTTTCCCTTTTTTTTTTTTTTTACTT